GGAACCTTTTCATAGTACCAGAACTAATTGTGGAACTACCCACTTTTCGGCGTGTTCGCACCGCCAAAACTGGGTGTGATTTTAGTACCGGACTGCCTTTTTCACCCTCACCCGCCATGATTTCAAACGCTGTGTAAACATACTGTAAGCATGTCAACTTATTTCTCAAGTATGGAGAACAGCGATAGATGGACGGACGCTGAAGTGCAGGCACTTGTAGCAAATGTAGCACTGCCAGTTGTCGTTGGAGATTCTTAGTCCTCCTTTCCATTCTTTCAATCACTTTACGTATACGTCGACTTTCCATGTCCATTATTGTGAAACCCATGAGACACAACAAACACACAGCACCGATTACATCGTCCTCCATTCTCCTGTTGTTAATGTTGTTCTTTGTTTCTGTTGTTGAACACCGCGCACAAATGACGTCGCTGTCGACCTAGCGCTCTGAGACGTGCGCTTAGGACTGCGCATGCGCACCGGCTGATCTTAGCCTGAAAAATAAGCTTTTTTTAATGCTATTTGAGCAAAATAAACAACATTTATGATACAGTTGTTGTCAGATTTCATTGGTGATTTCAAATATGAAATTTAATCGTTAGCTTAGTGAATAGTTTTGGGAGAATTTGATGTTTGAAAGAGATAGGAGCTGCACTTGCATGCTCGAGAGGCGTTTCAAAGATGGCCGCCGAGTGACATGACTTGCCTTAAAGGGACTTTGTCTATATTCATCTTTATATAGATTAGTGAATTTGCCATTATGATGTCATCTAGTGACATTTAGCTACCAGTTTTAGCTACTTTCCATTGAAAGCAGTTGGCAACACTGTATGGATATATTTTACGATTTACAAAATTAAAAACAATGACACTACTTTCAAAATGCACAGTAGCCTACTACACTAGTTTTATATAAACAAGCATCAAAGAAAAACTTCAATGTAAAACCAGAGGAAACAATACTAAAGAAACTAAATTAAAATCTAAAATAGGTTTATTGTCCATTGTATTGTGTTACAATAGGCCTATAACTCGATGGAATTTTTATCGATAGACATCAATCAACGTTGTTTGCGATAAATGTGATATTCGATGATTGACGGTGTTCTGATTGCATTAGCAGTGTCTAATAAATGTATTTTTTAAATAAATATATGTTTCAATTTTTATTGTTTTGCATATATCAATACAATGTAGGCCTATGTGTCTATCTACATAGAAAAAACACTGTAAATCAACCAGGTAGCCTATCTGGTAGCTTAAAATAGGTTCATATTAAATGAGGTAAATGTGGTCCTACATATGTGGAGGTTAGACGCATGTTGCATATTTGGCATAAACAATATGTAGGCTATGTCCGTAATATAAAAAGCTTTAATTATTTCTCACACCATGTGGGAACATTATTCTGTCTAGAAATTTCTCATTGGCTCTTTATCAATTAAAATGGATGGGGATCAGCAGCTGTAAAATAAAATAAATAAAATACAATAGAAAAAGAAAGAAAGAAAGACGATAGGCGAGGGTATATGCAAAATCTGTTATAAGCTACAGGGTTGGAATGGCACAATGGATCTCACTGCTCCCAATTCTGCCAGTATACTGATTATAAAATTATATATTGTAAAAGGTTATAAAAAATGGGCACATTTACATAATAGACTTAAGTGCTTATGTTAAAGACATTGTGCATTGTCACTTTTAAAATTAAAATAAAGAATAATAATTAAAAAGTTCTTAGTTTAAAATCTACTCTTTTATTGGAATACTTCTACTTAAACGAACGACAAATCTTTTCTATGATATCCAAACGCATGAAGTATCTAGTGAATAACAGAAAATGAATAACTCGTATCATGAAGATGACTTTGCTTTACGATAGAGGCACTGTGGAGATGCAACTCGCAAAGGGGTTACGCAGACCCACGCACTGCGCAAAGAAACCACAAAACCATTTAGCATTGGTGTTTTCTCGTATATGTATAGTCAAGTTACGGAACTGGTTTGCGATCTGTATAGGCTTACATTATTTTGCAATTTAATTTTTTAAGACAGGAGCCTTTAGTAGGTATTTTACACGCCAGAGAAGAAATTATATTCGTTTGCAAGTTGCATAGTAACATAAGTCAGACGGCAACTTTTCTCTGTGGTTTTTTACTACAGAACAATTTTTTCTTGTCCAATCCCTCCCATGTCTCCTCCTTCCCTTTACGCACTGTCTCTCCCACTCTCAGCGCGCGCGCTCCACAGTTCTGCCTCAGCTCTCCTGTCATCGTCGCAAACAAAGACAGCCTTCAGGGTAGTTGGCGCAGTGGTTTCAGAGCGCTGAAAAGTACTTGAGAACAATTGGGATTGAGATCAACAGCTGTCAGAGTGGACTTTACAGACAAATGCGGTCTTAATTGACCTCTTTTAAAATGCAAACCTCCCCGAATGGCTTTGTTCACTCGCGTGGATTTATGCCCTGCTGTCAGTGGTAGTACCAAGTCGTTTCTCTGTCTCAGTTTGTCCTCCAAAGGAAGCCTCCAGGAGACTACAGGATGAAATGGACAGTCTTGCTGTTAGAATACTTCTTGGTCAAAGTTCTGGTGCTGTTGTGCAGCGCGGTCGGGGAAGCGCAGCAGCAGCAGCTCGAGGGGTTTATAATGCTCTCAGGATCCAATGGGTCCCGGGATGAGGAGAGCGTTTCTGAACCTCCACATACTGAGGACAAATGTCGGGGTTACTATGATGTCATGGGACAGTGGGACCCGCCGTTCGTTTGCCAAACTGGCAATTATTTATTCTGTTGCGGCACTTGTGGCTTCAGATTTTGCTGCGCTTATAAAAACTCTCGTTTGGATCAGAGCACCTGCAAAAATTATGATACACCAGTATGGCTAACAGGACAGCCACCCTATAAGAAAACCCTAGACCCTAGACACGATCCAACCAAGGATAAAACAAACTTGATTGTGTATATAATATGTGGAGTAGTGGCAATCATGGCACTGGTCGGGATATTTACCAAACTTGGACTAGAAAAGGCTCACAGACCTCACAGAGAAAGTATGTCTCGGTAAGTAACTCATAGTTATGATGGTTTGACGAAGTCTTCATTTTCTTTTTGAATTTGACCAAAAATACTTATGGTAAAAACAGCGTGCTTTGCCACTGATTCTTTTTCGTTTTTTGTAAATGTGCTTGCTTATATGGATGTCTTTGATGTTGCACGCGTCTTGCATGAGCTCTGCGTTTATTCATCTCTGTCAATTTAAGAGAAGTTAAACTTTTTAAAACGCATCTCGAGATGCCATTACATCGTGCATCTCTGTTTTCGAACGTTAGAGCGCTCCTGTGTGTGTGACTGCTAGGGTCGTTCAAAAACATGTAAAAAATATATATAAATAAACCTAGACATAACCGAATGCAACAGATCTCGGATGTTTCGAAATGCGTTTTGTTGTAAATATTTTATTATTGGACAACATTTTGACAAACAAAACAAAAGGGGAGAAAGAGGGAAAGTGCTCATGGTGCAAGACACTGAAAAACAGCATGGCAACAGTGAATGATATGCGTTTGGTGCATGTGTGTAGTAGACCAACAACTAAAAGCAATTTAAAAACAGCAAAAGGGTGAAAATTGTTCACTCCATCCAAGAATGGATTAAAAAAATTTCCAACTAAGAAATTTCTCACTAACCCAATCTTTTGTGGCTTTTGATTGTTGGTTGTCAAAGCTCTGCATTTACTGTTGTGCCTATTCTTCCCATACATATTCATGCTTAATTAGAGCAAAAACAATCCCTTGAATCTTCATTAAGCTTTCTAAATTCATGGATTTGTGTTATGCAAGCTCTCTTTTTAAAGGCTTTCTTGAATCACAGATCTCAAGAGATCCACATGGAAACACGGTTAACTTGTACATGTAAACCACAAGTACTGTACAAACCATTTTAGATATTACATTATATTGCATAACATCCGGTTGTCAGTTTTTTACCCTTTGGTTACTCAGCTTGAATGGTGGAGGTGGAAATCTCTTGTTCCTACTGATTCTGTGGGTCAAAACCTCTGATGAGAGCTTCACAGCCCACAGTGTGCAGGTTGCTGAAAGAGCGGCTCACAGAAAAAACCTGTTCTCTTTGAATCAGCACTCTGGACAGCGGCAGCTATAGCACTGAATGACTAGATGTCAGTCTACTGACATTATATCACTGTATGCCATTCTTTGATATCTAAATAAAGGCCGATTACACAATGCAAGGAAATTCAATGGAATACTAAGCTAACAAATGTTTGTTCTTCAACAGAGCTGTTGCGAGCGTAATGCAAGGCGCCCGTCAGGGTCAGCACGAGGAGGCCATCGGAATGCACACACAGCATTATGACACTGTGCAGGCGAGAGCAAACAACATGCGTAAGTTGATTGTAGCCTACTTCCTCTCTTTTCCCACGAGCTCAGCATAAACTATGCACTACATTTATGCTCTTATGAAAATAGCCTGAAACAGTCTAAAAGCATGTTTCTCCTGGCTCGAGTGCTCAATATACCATAACCTCTACGCAATACAATGCACTTGTGTACTGAATTACACATGTAGTTATAAATGATGCATATAATAATATATTAAGTACTCAAAGTTTTACTTGCGGTGCAAAACTTTGTTGGTTCTGCACCACTTTTTGATTTTCATATTCAATGCTTAGCATATACAGATATGTGTAAGAAAATGGAGATGCTGTGAGCACAACGCTGTTGTGAAATAAGCCTATTTATGGTCACTGCCGTGGGCTGCTGCGGCAGTTGTGTGTACGGTATTGTTTAAAACCGCTCGAAATGAATGGCCCTGTCACAAATTTTTAAACTCTCATTTGCTGCGATTCTGATTACTTCACCCCCTCTGTGGTTATCAACTCCCTAAATATATCTGTGTTGAAATAACACAAAATACAGTGAGGATATCAAAGCCCCCCTCAGAAGGATCCATTTTGGTTGACACTGAGGATGTGAGTCAGTAGCTGGAGAAATTTCCCTTTCATCTAATTGCAAAGATAATGTCACACTTTCTTCACTGCCATGCATATTGTAGATATCTCCATCAGAAGTTTTTGAAAACTCAGATTACTTTTATGTTACATTTCTTTATTATAAACAAAGACTAAGAGCAATAATATGTAGATATATCTCAGGAAAATGGTAAGAGCACTAGACTTGTGAGGGTGTTTTTGGTTTTAACAGTAGCACAACCCTTTTTGGTGCTAAATAGAACTCTTTTTTTGGTTGCACAAAGAAGCATGCTTTGAAAGTGCTATACAGAACCTCAATGGTGCTGTGAAAGAGCCTTTTCATATGAGTCTGGAGGGGTTTTACTTAATTTTTTATTTATACACCCGTTCTACACCTGCACTGTAGGCTCTTAAATTGAAAAGATGCACTGAAAAAGAAAAAAAAATCAAATAAAACAATAAGAAAGATTTTTAACAGTGTGTGGATGATGAAAGTTTTGTTTCACTTGCAGGCAACCATTACATATGGAGTGTCACACCAGCCATTAACAAGCTTGATTTAGAAATGTAACTATGAAATCAGTACAATGTCAGTTCTGTCCTCTATTACACAAAAATACATTCAAAGAGTCATTTTGGCTCACCCCTTATTTCCATATCATGATCATTATTCTTGCAGTACTGGCTTTTAATCCATAAACCTGAGTGTAATTACGTGGACTGCTTTTAACCTCTGACCCCAACGATTAAATACACAGTCCACCGAGTTACTCCATATGAGATAATGATTTGAACCGAAATCAAGAGAGCAGGACCTAAGAGCAAGTAATTCCAGCGATTATGCAGAGGACCTTAATATGAGAGTTTTCTGAATTCTCAAGTTGACCCCTGAGTGGCAGGTCATAAGATCTTGTAATTAAAACATAAAGATATGTTTTAAAGCTTAAAGATACGTTAAAGGTGTAGTTTTCCGAATAAGTGTAGATAAGAATAAAGCCTAAGTCTATTGATAAAAGTTCCTGTCTTTTGAACGCTGTAACACAGAAGATTATCAAATCTGCTTTATGTGTCATAATAGATGTTCATACACTCTTAAATGACAGATGTGAGATTATTTCTTTCAACATGAGATGACAGAAAGACTCTGCATGTGCTGTAGGTTAACTGCTGTTATTATTTCAATATGTAAACCTAGTTAGATTACACAACTGGTTTCCCCCCTAATCACTCTTATATGTGATACTGAGAACGTTTCAAAGATTTAAGAACATACAAGATGAAAATATGTTATACATTCCTTATTTTGTATTCTTGACGTATTCAGATTCGCTCATGCTCATATGGAATTTGTGGGGAAATTATTTTTTCACATAAACCAATCAAGCAGTAACGATATTCTGGCAATCTCTTCAATATTCCTCCTCTAAGACGCTGACAATCTAGATGCTCACCCACCGTGTGCTGAATGATCCCATCAAAGAGGTCTAGTTACCTCACTGAAAGTGCAAAATTACTAGACCTTTTTTTCGCAACGATCCAGGATTCTGGAGGATACAGTACTGTGCTCCATTACCATCACAGCTTGGCGTTACAAGAGTACCCGTGGCTTTAAAAAGAAATAGAAAAAAAGAAGTATTGAATACAGAATGGTAAATTTTTTGGTCATGGCATGAAATAATCAAGACTTTAGCCCAGTGTGATTTCAATCATTGTACAGTACAGGATGTTAAATTCTGCAATTCAGTGACCTGAATTGAGGAAGAAAAGCATTTCCTCCCACAGCGCACTGAGCAGCTGAACCTTGCAGATGAAGTGGAGCTTTTTCCAATGCCACAGCTAAAACTAATTACCTTAATGGGGGTTCCCAAAAGAAACAGCAGAAATCTATTATGCTGTATTTATTTTAAATCTTGTGCCAATGTAAACACCTGAAACAAAGGTCTGCTTGCAAATACGCAGGTGCTAAAGACACATCTGCATGTTCTGTATGGACTTAAAAGATCAGCGAGAGTAAAACCCGTCTGTTGTCCTTAACAAACTCACTGTAACTTAAAAAAATAAAAAGTGTAGAGAACAGAATGGATTTCTGCTCACCTATTGCATTCTTCATCCGTGTGATTATTCTTGCCGTTGGCACTATACTTGCAATAAGTCCATTTACAGCGAATTGTCCTAGTTCATTGCTAGTTCAAGCATGTCTTTGTACTAGGATTCTCTTATTGCAAAAAATCTGATGATCTGATGTCTAGAGGCATGTTAACTTTTTAAGCCATCAAATAGACCTCTAACTTTTAACTTCAATCTGGCGTTATTTTGATAAAAGCCAAAAACTTATATCTAAAAATTATTCTGAAATCTTTTTTTTATATGACAGGACGATTCATCATGAAATGATATGTGCACTCTTTGAAATGCTATTATTAAATATTGTTGTGTGAGATTGTCACTAAATGCTGCCACACATATGCTAGTGTTAACAAAGCTAAAACTTTCATTTGACAAGTTCACATTATTCTAGCCACCACCAGAAGTGCTAAAACAGCCAGTATAACTCGCCACAACCATATAAAACCAACTCTTTATGAAATACTCTTTTAAAACAAATGAAGAGTCCATTCTCTCTGTTCTTTTCTAAATCTTTAAAGCTGCAGTCCGTAACTTTTTTTGGTTAAAAATGATCCGAAATCAATATTTGAGCAAGTGCATAACCAGCCAGTGTTCAAAACCTCCTTACTTTTACAATCTCCTTACTTTAACCTGATTCACAACGGTTATCTTATAATAATGTTTTCTAATTTGAGTGGTACGGGTAGGTTTTCGTGGGAAATTCGAGCATACTGCTGCGTCATTACGTCACGTCTGTAAACATAAAGAATTTGTCCCGGCTAGTAGGCTATCGCATGTCAGGATCCTGCAGGTGGCCGATCGTTTATAGCCTTTTCTCAAAGCAGCCAGAATAATTATATGTATAATTTTGATGGCGGATTGTAATCTATAAAGGATTATGTGTTTATGAAACATGTGAATGAAATTAAATTATATTCCAGTTATAAATGTGCTTCTGATTACAGATAGCCTCGGATAACAAAGATTTGTATTTTAAAGAAAACCAGTTCAAAGGGGGCATACTTTGCTTTTTGGGTTAAAATAATTTCTTAATATGACATTCGAAGAGTATGACAATTAGATTAGACTGTGCAGAAATTGAAATCTACATGCTAATACACACTATACTCATAGTCACCAATGCTGATGTTGTTAACATTAATCATTTGAGAATAAAGTATAACAATAATAATAATTTGAACGGTTTGATGTGATATGAGTAGCTAACCGATCTTTAGATTTAATCACCATTGGCAGCGATATTTATGGTAATGCTTTTTTCCTAAGTTGGTCAGAACAAACGTGGCAGACTTGTTACTTACTTGTTCAGATGGCAATATACGGTGAAAATTCTTATTTGGGTCATATTCCAAGATGTAGGCTAGAATCTGTGATTGCGAAGTACAGTAAATATCCACACCGGTGCGGTGACTGACTGCCACACATACTCTTCAGAACATTAAATTCATCCGCGCTGGAGCCGTGCCGACTCACAACCCCCGCAAGCTAGATATTTCCACACACAACTGCAATTCCAGGTTTTCAGACAGAGATGGCAACAAAGAGGCAAAACTTACAGACTGCAGCTTTAAACAAAATAACAGTACTCTTTCTGCATGTTACACCATTACACCACTAAGTGGCAACTAGTGCTGTGTTCAAAATATCGATACGACGATGTATCGTCACAGAGATTTGATGATACGAGTATCGAATATAGCTGGCCCTGTATCGATATTGTGGCACGTGTGCAGCAGTGGACCGCGCTTAATTTGTTAAACATTTTACAACGTTTAAAATTGAGTAGAAAAGTGCAAGGTTTCTAAAAAAGAATGACTAGAGCATATATAGGCTACAACCAGGTTTAATCTGACCGCAGAGGAACACATCTGGGTTGCCTGATATAAAGAGATGTAATCCCCGAAACAGAGCTTCACACTTGCGCAATATGGAAATATCTTGCTTTCTGAAAACACCGATTTGCTTGCAGTTTAGCGATCTCCACTTCTATATTCTATTCTCAGAAAGTGTGATTCATCAACTGTTCATTTACAACACAGAGAGAGAGAGAGGCTGTGCAACGTTATCTGTGTGTGTGACTGCACCAAACTGCTTCTGTTTCACACAAATGCTGGCACAGACGTGCATGTTCGGCTAGAGTCGCTTTGAACACGTGCATCTTTGGAAGCGGAGCTGCACGGAAAGTTACAAAAAATGTTGTGCACACCGCCACGCGAAACGACGTCGCGCACACTCAAAGCGAACTTGCAGACGCTCGAGTATAAATCAGCCTTAAATCAGCCTTCAGCGTGTGTGCGTTAGATACAGTGAAGACAGCGCGTTAGTTTAGAGAGTGTGTTAATTTGTGCAATGATAACCTACCAGCAATGTAAATATTTTTTTTTATATATTAGAATGAGTACATTACAATATACATTTATTAGAACAAGTACATTATTATTTATGGGCTTAAAAACAAGATGCAAACAATCAGAATATTGTACCTGGTGGGGAGTGCATAATGTAAACATGAAACATATGCAGTTACCTATATTGTACTGTGGTACAGTTATGGAGGCCCTTCATAATGGAGAGGTCAGCTGCCTGCTCTGCCAATAGTTAGAAATGGCACTATAGTAAGCAGTGTTTAATAAACAGCTGTTTTTCTAAATTCTGCTGAGGTGAAATTAAGTGCAGTCATGTATCGTGATACGTATCGTATCGTGGCCTCTGTATCGTGATACGTATCGTATCGTGACTTTGCTGGTGATACACAGCCCTAGTGGCAACATATGACTGTCTTTATAAGTGAGCCAGTGAATCACTTATTCAACTGATTCATTAAAAAATGCTGATTCATTTGGGAATGGAACACCTCTATGTTGTTGCACAGAGACAGTTTTATTTTGGTTTAATTGATATACTATTACATTTCTTAGTAATATTTTACTTTTTTTATTTTCAGATTTAATTTTAGCAAATTTTTTTATAATTTAGGTTTATTTCCGTTTTAGCTGTTTTAATTTAGTTATTTTAGTTTATTTCCACAGTAATTATAGTGCTTCAACTTTAACTAATCTCAGTTGCAAGGCAACATTTTCAGCTTTATTTCAAGTAACAAAAATAGCTTATGATAATAAGCCTGCTCAGAGATGGCTTTGTTTGAAAATATTTGACTTGGTGGAGCTAAAAGAGACAAGCGTCAATATATTGTGCCTAAAATATAAGTTACCCACTTCTTTTTATTTAAGGTTTTATAACAGCAATGTCATACAATTGTGTGATATTTTTAATGAATGACTTGAATAAAAGTTTTTCATGTGATGTATATTTATTTGTTCATGTAAAGTAGTGTTGGGCGATATGGTCATTTTTCAAATCGTCATATCGCCAGCCCGTGAGATCGCCGATAGACGATATTATCGTGCATGGGTGGGTGGGGGCAAGAGAGAGACTCCCTGTACTTGTCATAGGCTATTTCATAACTATAACGTGCGAGCGAGAGAGAGAGAGAAATAGCCTATGGAAGCACCACTAATCTAAATAATATACTTTCAAACGTACTGATAAACTAACATGTTGAATACAAAAATATCTAAAACAGCTAGTTCATACATATTCGGATACAACAGTCATAGCTACATCGCTATTAGGACCGCGCGTCCTGTGACAAGTTTCGGCATCGACGCACGGAAGTTATCAGTCTAAAACAGGGCTGTTCAAACTCGGTCCTGGAGGGCCGGTGTCCTGCAGAGTTTAGCTCCAACTTGCCTCAACGCATCTGACTAGAAGTTTCTATGCCTAGTAAGAGCTTGATTAGCTGGTTCAGGTGTGTTTAATTAGGGTTGGAGCTAAACTCTGCAGGACACCGGCCCTCCAGAACCGAGTTTGGACAGCCCTGGTCTAAAAGGTCTGCAAAATCAGTCAACGGTGAAAATCAAAAGTAGATTTATTTTAAAAAACAACAGTTTAACACTAAGTATTGGACATAAACGAACACGTTAAATATAAAATATTTTAAACAGGTAAGTTCATATATTTGGAGTAAATTGAAATTAAACAGGTAGTACATCAATCAAACATGATGAGCAGGGTTGCCAGGTTTTCGCAAAAAAACCCGCCCAACTGCTACTCAAAACTAGCCCAATCGCGTTTCGAGGGGGATACCCTGGTAAAAATCGAATTAAGGGGGGTAAAATACATGTTTTTCGGCGGGGATCCTCCAGTAAAATTCGCATTCCAGGGTCGAAATATCACGTTATTGGGGTCGCTTCAACTCGCGGACATTAAAAACAACCCGCGGCAACAGTGTTAAAGTAGCCCAATTCCGCGCGAAAACCGCGGACTTGGCAACACTGATTATGACCCCGACGCACCACCACAGAAACAAGAATGAGATGCATTCTAACATAACTGTGGTATTAAGCTCAGTTTGTGAGGGCTCGGTTAAAATATTACACATATATAGGCCATTTAGATTACTTGTGAAATTGCAACGAAATGCCTTATATCAGCAGATGATGTGTGTCTGTGTTTGTGGTTGGAGACTCCTAAACCGACTACATTTGCGCGCGCGCGTGTGTATGTGTGTGTGTGCGCGTGTGAAATACAGTGCTGAATGAAAAAGCGGGGCAATTTGATAATACTAGCCGAATTATAATGAATTATTATTATTATTTAATACATTAATAGGAGAATGAGCCTAATATCGTCTTGACTATCAACAAACATCTGCTATCATCGATATCTCTGACTATCGTCGATACACGATACTATCGTCTATGGGCACAACCCAATTGTAAAGTAAATTGTGATGATGATGATGATGAATTTTTTAATGCACACAAAATATTGTCGGCTAGTCCTATTTATGACAATAAGATGCAGGACAAATCATAAATGGAGATTATAACTTGGTTAAGATCTTAATCTCTGGCAAAATTTCTGTTTTTCTTAATTTGTCTTATTGTGCAGTGCTTTCTAATGGCAATACACTAAATTAATTGATAATATAATTAACTATTAAAATTACAGGTACAATTAAAATGTAAGCCATTTTTTCTACTTTTTTGCAATCTTTTACATCCTTTTCA